ATGTTATACACTGCTCAGCCAAAAAAAAAAAAAAAAAGTTGCCACCTGTATTTAACTAAGCAAATAGGTATGATCCTCTGCAGTTGATAAGGTTTAGCAACAGTCTTAGCTCAAAGAATGAGGTGAGCTGACTACCTGAATATACGGAATGAGCAGGTTATTCCATCAATGGATTGTTTCTTTCCTGATGACACGGCCATTTTCCAAGATGACAATGCCAGGATTCATGGGGATGAAATTGTGAAAGAGTGGTTTAGGGAGCTTAAGACATCATTTTCACACATGGATTGGCTCCACAGAGTCCATGAGAATCTTTGGGATGTGTTGGAGAAGGCTTTATGCAGCGGTCAGACTCCACCATCATCAATGCAAGATCTTGATGAAAAATTATTACAACACCGGATGGAAATAAATCTAGTGACATTGCAGAAGCTTATCAAAGCAAATGCATGCCAAAATCACTGGCCGGGCAGTGTACATAACTTGCAAGATACTGTAATGTACCAAGTTATRAAACTTCAATAATTTCAACAAATGAAATAATATATTGGTTGGATGACTATAATTCTTTAAAGTTCTTGAAGTTATTTTTTGTATTATAAAAGTTTGCTTTGCATATTAGTGTAGGTAACGAAACACCCAAACAAATGTTTACTACTTACRTTGGAACACCAAGTGCAGCACAGACATTTCTCACAGCTCCCTCTCCTTGTGCTTTAATGATTCTCAGGATCCGCTCTACAGCCATATAAAGGGAGTTCCACCTTGTTGCATTAGGTTGCACCAGCTGAAGTTTGCAATGTTCTTCAACCACCTCTGCAGCAGTAGTTGACCTTGCCGTCTTGTTCCAAAGAGCCTGACATTTGGAGAAGGCCGATCTCGATAACTTCTTGTAGGCCTCTACCTTGTTTGCATTATTTGCATCCACTGTAGAAACCAGATTCAACAAATGGCAAGCGCACCGATGATGCTTTGGAAGWTGGTATTGGAGACCATCATCTTCAGTAATAATGGTGCCAACATCAATGAATTCCACCTCTTCATCTTCATCATGATCATGTTCTGGGGTTGGATCTTCATCAGTTACCTCCCCAGTAGTAACATTGTTTTCATCTTCTCCAACTACTMTGAATGCTTTAATGAAGTTTGATCCATTATCAGTTGTGGTTCTGACAATCTTCTCACGGATTTCATATTCTGAGTGTATATCATTCATTGCACTTGCCAAGACGTCAAATGTGTGACTGCCCTTTAACTGCCTGCATGCAAGACCAACAGAATGTCTCTCAAAGCTGTTTGGATCCAGCCAGTGGGCTGTAATGCCTAAGAAACTTCTCCTCYYTGCAGTCCAGCAGTCAGTTGTTGTAGCTATGTATGGCATTKTCCTCATTGCTTCCTTCACCTTCTYCTTCATCGCTAATGTGGCTTTATCAAGGTTGCGTCGCACAGTAGTCCGAGACATGATGGAGCAGTTTGGCTGAAGATCTTGGACAAGGCTCTGAAATGCTGGCTGCTCAACAACAGAGAATGGCTGTAGACCATGAACTGTAAAGTTGAGTACTGCCTGATCAACACTTTTCTGAGAGACTTGCTTTGTTTCTTCCATCTTCATCTGTTTGAGATTTGTGGAAGACGTCCCATCCTCAGATTTTCTCTTGTAGGCTGCTGTAGTCAGTTCACTAYATTTCTGCAGCTGTCTTGTATGCTTCCTCTATAATAAGACAATATAGAACTTCAGTTAAAAACAGTGAACACAAATGGGCACCATGACAAAACACATGGATATTGGCAAACAAACGAACAAAATTCCAATAAAATGTATTACTACATCCCACCTTTAATAATGTAATTTCACCATACTCTAGAGTAGGGCTGGGTGATATCACACCAAATCAATATCACAACTAATTTAACATGTTACCTTGATTGCAATTAATTACAAATTAGTTTATTTTATTTTTTTCCTAGCAATCAAATGACTGAAAGTTACAGTTTAAAATGTTTTATAGAAGAGCATATATTGATTACAAAACAAATGAATAGACGCATGCAGTTTAATTAAATATTGTTATTTAATTACTAAAAATATATTTAAGAGAAATAATATAAATGACATGAGCAAGACCACATTGATTAATGGTTCCGAATGTCATTTGATTAATTTTAAATTAATTGACCAAACCAACTGTAGAGTCAAACTCAGTTAATATACACAACCCTGTGCTAAATCCCATTTTCTACTGAGACTCCAGTAGAGTTTTGAGATTTAAACATCAGCAAAAGGTGAGTAGCTATTGAGTAAGTTTCACACTACATATGGTTTAGGAGTTTAATTTCGACATGTACATATTTCTTCCAGGAATTTCCATTTCATTTCATTGTTCACAGTCACCAAATGTAAACATCATGTGTATATTTCTTTAATGTTCATTTAAAAAAAAAACATCTAATGCTTGCTTGCAGATATTGTATCCCAAAGTTTACGAGTCGTGGGGAGACTAGCTTTGGCATGTTACTAGTCTCTCCAAAGCTAATCCTAGCGAGAAGGCTCCTCTACTGTTTGTCGGCGCTAGTGCTCAGTTACAGGTGCCGGCCTATCATTTATCACTTATCAAATCAATATCTGGCTTCGGAATGGATATAGCCTCCTGCTAAAAAGTAGCTAACGCTGTGCATGACTTAATTTTGGCGCTGCAACCACCTAGTTTCCCTCTCACTTGCAACCAAGCCCGTTAGCGTGCTGACAGCTAAGCTAGCAGTTAGCACAAAATGGTCGCCTATTTTTCRATCATCTCTCACAGCATTAAACCACAACCACCCTAACCAAAGTCAACTTCATTTAAAGCGTTTAAACTAGTGAGAAAAAATGTTTGCTGACTTACCTCAATGTGCTTTCTCAGGTTAGATGGTGAGTTATGGAATGCTGAAAGGTACTTTACCCG